GGTGAGGGGGGGGGGGGAGCAAATACAAGCTACTAAGCCTTGGAGGGGGGCAAGTAGAAACTGTTTGCTGTTTTACACATAAAATTGAAGGGCATAGGCAGAAAAATTTCAATCTTAGAAATACCCTAACAACTTAGAAAACATTGAAGCCCAGAGAAAGCAAGAGTGATCCTTTTGTGTGAACTAATGATATGTCAAAACAAGAAAGCACAAAGAGACCTCTCCAGCTCCCAAGAACAGGTAGGTGTGCTCTGCTAATGTACCACCAACTAATTTCAGTGCTGCAACAAGCCCAGCAAGGACCACCGAAGCTGTTCCCTGCAATATGTAAACAGTAAGTCAACATTAGTACATTCAAAAAGCCCCAGACCCCAGTTAACATTTGTATGGACAACAAAAATCTAAGAGCAACTCTATGCTACATTTAATCATATTTTACAATTTACTGTATCACAACCAAGCTAACAGTCATTCAGTTACAGTACCTGAATGTCATCATTGAATACAAGGTGGGTTGTTCCGTATCTTGCAAGGAGATCAAAGGCATTGTGGTTTGCAAAATCCTCGAACTGCATGATAAGAAGGCGTTAACTCGTTATAATAAACATGAGGCAACTCATTTCGCATCAGCATGTATTTTCTGCTCCCAAACTTTGTTCAAAATATAGCTTTTCTTAGCATGTAGGTTACCTGAATGAGAACTTTCTACCCATAGTTTTGCTTCACAGCAGCCATAAATTCATGCAGAAAATCAGCATACTCCTGATAGCACAAAAAAGGTCAATTAAGAATTTCAGGTGGTAACTAGAATGAGTTAAGAATACAGGCAGAAAAAAACGTCATCGTCCAACCTGGCCAGTGGCCCTTTTTTGCCTCAAGCCAATGTAAAATTCATCATTCAGAAGCTCCTCATTATTTGTACCAACATCCAATGTGATTGGCAAGCACTTCAAGAATACCAATAACATGTTAGTCCATGCAATCAAGAAACGGCATTCTGAGAAAAAGAGGTAGGTATAACTGACAACTTACTGCAGATGGACGAACCCCTCCCAGAGCAGTGTAAAGGGAAAGCTTACCAACAGGAATCCCCATTCCCTGCACATAAAATATTGCATTCAGCACAAGATCCTCAGAGGCAGTTCACCATTTTTTTTTCTTTTTCCTGTTTACAAGGGAGACACGTACACACACACAAACACCACAATCATACACCCACATGAGTGTGCCCCCATAAGGCCTAGAACTGAAAGAGATGGGAACAAGTCGGTGAACATCATAAATTTTCAGACACATAAAAGGAAAATACCTGGCATCCAAGATCTCCAAGCCCCAAAATACGTTCACCGTCAGTAACGACAATAACCTGAATGCTTCTCTCAGGCCAGTTCTTCAGCACCTCAAGGATCTTTCCCCTACACAGCCAGCAAAATTATATATGAACATGAACAGCAAACAGAACCTCAACGAACAAATCCATGAAGCAAAACCTACTTCTCTTTCAAGCTGATGTAAAGACCCTGCGGACGACTATATATTGACCCATACTTTTGGCAGGCCTCACCAACAGTTGGAGTGTACACAATAGGAAGCAGCTCCTCAACATTGTCAATGAGGAGCTTGTAGAAAAGCCTCTCATTCCTCTCCTGCAATATGGATTAAAACAACAGTGTAACCAAAGTAGATTTCTCACATCAGCTACACTATGGAAGCTAAGAAAAATATAGTGAACAGTTACTTGAAGGTCCATCATAGCCATGTAACGCTGCAGAGGTAGCTGGTATTGGCGAATATTATGCATGATCTTCCTCTCCTGATAAAATCAGAGTACACTCGATCAGAGATGAGCCCACACATGAAATTAAGAATCAAGGATTGTCAGACCTGGAGCTCCTGGGATGTGACTGCTGGTGGCAGAAGGCCACGAAGGTAGTGTGTCTCGCGCTCCTTCTCTGTGAAGGCAAGCCCCTTGTTGTAGCGTGGATCCCTCAACAAATTGTAACCGCTGCCACACACCAAACAAGTTAGAATTTCCATTTGAGCATATATATAGCCCACAAATTTCTCCTTACCTAGGGGTGATCATGCATTTCCATTGGTAAATGACTCAAATTCTACCATGTCAGTTTTATGGTAAGGCGAAGTACTATTGTGTAGTGTCAACTACCACATACTTAAGATGAAATCAGTTTGGCGACCTCAGGGATGCAAAATCAAAACATATCACAGTTTCATATGAAAACACGAAGAGGGTGTTTGTTTCCAGGGACTTATTGATTCAGGGACTTATTGATTTAGGGACTTAAAAAAGTCCCTATAAGTCCCACCTAAACCAAACACAAGGGACTTATTGGGACTTATTGTGGTGATTTGGGACTTATCAAATAAGACTCTCAGGGAGGAGCTTATTGGGACTTATCCCGGGCCGGACCTACCCCGCGTCGCTCCAGGCTCGTTCCCCGCACGCCGCCTGCCTCTCGGTCCAATCGCCGCCGCCGCCCCGCCTCTCGCCCCGTCGCCGCCCCGCCTCTCGCCCCGTCGCCGCCCCGCCTCGGTTCGTTCTGCCTCGGTTCGCCGCCCCGTCGCCGCCCCGCCTCGGTTCGTTCTACCTCGGTTCGTTGCAGCGGTGCCTTCAATCGCCGGACAGGCCCTCTCCTGAGCCTCGTTGCAACGGTGCAACATGGACTTATAAGTCCCTGTAAACAAACAGGTAGGGACTCGAGACTTATAAGTCCCTGTAAACAAGCAGATAGGGACTTATGACTTATAAATTGGGACTTAAAAAAGTCCTAGGACTTATGAAACAAACAGGGCCGAAGCATCATGATTTTAAACTTTTTTTTTCCTGTCAATTGCCGTCAGTTACCACCTAGTAGGAATGTAGGATAAAATACCAATAATTATTCCCTCAGCAGATTTTTTAGGGCCTGTCAAATTCTAAGTTGTGTGATTTTTTTCATTTCATATGTCGTCATATCACAGTTTCATATGAAAATCGAAACATATCACAGTTCGATATGAAAACACGAAGCATCATGATTTAAAACATTTTTCCTGTCAATTGTCGTCAGTTGACGCCTAGTAGGATAAAAAATATCAATAATTATTCCTTCAGCAAATTATTTTAGGACTTGTCTATTTCTAAGTTGCATGACTTTTTATTTCATCCTAGTCACCTTTTGAAGCATCCGACCACCATACATAACTTAAGAGTAAGATTGCAATTACGTTTATTTTCTTCTTCTGAAATTGCACACTTCCAAGTTCAATACTGCAACATTAGGTGACTGAAATTTATGAAAAATTGGCAGCTGAGAATTGATAAAACCGTGTGAAATTCCGATAACCAGAAGACACAAAACGCCATAACCTCCTACTAAATCGTTTGTCTCCGGGAAGAAACAGAGACCCCTGCCCCTAGGGCCCAGGCCAGGGCGGATCAGAAAGCTTATCCTTAAAAATGAACCAAGCGAAGTAACCCTCCGACTGGGACGCTCACCTCGCGACAGAGACGGTCCACGGCGTGACGAACTGCTCCTCGGTGGCGCGGTCCTCGCCGTAGGTGTCCTCGACGCCGCCGCCCACCGTCGCCGCGTCGTCCATGTCCAGCACGCACGGCGCCCCGCCTCCCCGTATCTCCTTCATGGTGCTCTCCATCTCCCCCTTCGGCCCCGCCTCCGCCGATGCCACGAACCCCCTCCTACCAACGTGCCACCACCTCGTCGCCGCCGCCGCTAGTCCCCTCCGCGTTTCCCCGCCCAGGTGGCGCCCGCAGCAGCCTCTCCGCGCACCGCTTGAGCTGCTCCCCTGATGTTGCCACTGCCGCGCTAGTAGCTGGTGATGGAGCAGTGGTGTTTATCAAAGGTGGTGGTGATGTGGTTAGCCGGGAGCAAATATATT